TTTAAATATTCTTATAATTATCGTGTTTGAACCTGAAATATCTAAAAATAATAATTATTCTTTTGATATTGCAGTCGTTTGATTCATAATACTTATATTTTTTAAATGAGAAAAGTTTGTATATTTTATTTTAGCCATACCTAAGCTTCTACCTAATTCCCCTTGTTTGCTTTACAGATTATGGCTAGCTTTACCTGGTAATTGGGACACAAAGGACTAGGGTAGTTATAGCTTTTACTTAATGAATGGTAATTACCTACCCACACATGTCTTATATTTATAGGTCCGTGTAGGCCATATTGGAAGGTATGATTGACGGCCTTAGTTAAGCTAGAGTTTAGTTCGGTATAATCAAGGCCTACCAATCTTTTTCCTACATTCTCTATTGTTGTTTGTAGTGGACCAAGGCCTTGTCATGTAATGGAACACAAATGTACTTGTGGGGGATCAGCCGTTTTCGAAACAATATTAACCGATAAGATCAAAGGAGAAGAAATGGATAAAGAGCAGAGCATGACATAGACACCGAAAGTGGTGAAGGTTTGGTAGGTTTAGGATGGACGGCTGACGTTGCATCTTACAACAACCTTTGTCTCTTCTTTTTATTTTCTTTTGCTTTTCTAACATTTATCCACATTTATCCCATTTCCTTTTCCTCTTTCTCGACAAGATTTGGCTTAAAATATCAATTAAAATTATATTTAAAAAGGTTAATAAACCTTGTTTACGAATTCCTCGTGGCCATTATCCAATCATATTTACATTTAATAAATTAAATTAAGTGTGAACTATTTATAATAATTGATTTTAAAATTTTGCAAACGACCTTTAGGAGAAAATCGATTAGTTACGATGATAAGATTTTTTTAAAAGATTTTTGATAAAAGATGTGAGTTGTCATCAATAATTTTTAAGATGAGATTAGAACACTTAATATCTAGTAATTTTAATAAAACATTTTATTTTATAAAAAATACCAAGTTTTGATCTGTAATATCAGAAATCGGGTTCGAGAGTCAGTTATGCGTGGGGAATGATTAATACCCGTACTACTCCCAAAAATTGGTACATAATCGATTACCATATATTTTAAAAATTAGAAATTTTGAGTTCGAAATTTTATTTAATTTAAAGACAACTATGTATGCACATTTTGAAAAGGTTGTTGATGTACTAATACCAATAACAACTACCCTTGAGCCCTAGCGAAAGTTTCATTATCAATATCAATAAATGAACATTACCTTTATATTTTTTTAAAAAAAATATGATGCAAGGTTTTGAAAAATATGTTGATTTACTTCGGGAATCAATAGTGGTCACCCCAGGCATAATGCGAATATACACTATTAACCCATAGTAAATGAACATTGTCTTGTTTTGAAATCGAATCATGCAATCAAACAATTATTTTTTGAACCAAGTTATACTAACTGGGTTTAATTAAGGTTTCCCTCTAACTAAAGAGTCATATTATGAATTTTAAAGGACCAAAAGGATTAAACCTAAAAGTATAGATTTTGATATTTAGACCTAACAAATTTTAACAAATTATTTAATCGAATAATTAATTCAAAACCTTGGGCAAGAGCAAGGACCAAAATAAAAAATCTCCTAAATTAAGGGACTAAAATGAAATTAAGCATTAAATAGAGGCTATAATATTAATCCTACTCAATTCTAACCAATTATGGGATCGAAAATTGAAATGGAACTTCGGACATAAATGCGAGGACTAAATAAAAAATTTACTTTTATTAAGGGACTAAAGAGAAATTAAACCTAAAGTGAAAGCTCTAACATTAATTCTAATCAAATTTAACCAATTATGGGATCAAATAATTGAAATGGAACCTCTGGCATAAATACGATTACCAAATAAAAAATTCACCTAATTTAAAAAGTTTAGCAACTAGATTTTAATAAACCTAAATGTAAGTAATTAAATTACGGACTAAATTAGAAAGAAACTAAACCTAAGAGTTAAAATTAAAAAAATGCAAAAAGTTAAAAAGTATAATTTATGGGATTGAAATGTAAATGCTAAAAATTTAAGAACTGAAATTAAAATAACATAAACTTAAATGGCAGAAATATAATTAGCAAAAATGTAAATCGAATAAAATTAAAGGTTAGTTGTTGATTTTTAATTTTTACCCGGATCATAAATAACACGAGTCATACCCCGAGATGGGTCATCATGTGTCGTAAATTTAGTTTAAATAACGTTTTAGAAACTAGAAAATTAATGGCTACAATTAAGATTACCCTGACCATAAATAACACGAGTCATACCCCGTGATAGGTTGTTACGAGGCCCACGTAGAAGAGCCCAAGTCACCCACAACAGAAGAAACCAATTAGTTAAGCATAGTACTTACAGCTGGCAATTATCTAGATTTCTTGACTGTGTAAACAAATAAAACTAGTACCCATTGTAAGGAAGGCATGTTTTTTGTGAATGGAATCCTTTTTCTGTAATCTTCATTTCTTCTCTTCTTACGAAATCCTTTCTTTCTTCTACGATCTCCATTTCTCTCTTCTCGATTAAAACTCATAACAGGAATGTCCACATATAGGCTTCGGCAGCATCAAGAAGGCATTAACTCCGTTGGTGGTGGCCGGTGCAAGAGCCCACATAACTAGAGCTGGCATGACGTTAGTCGCGAACCTTACTGTGACAGTATTTTGAAGGGAAAATGATGGGGAATGGGACGTAGTGAGGCAAAGATGAGTTTTATGTATATTAGAAAGTTCATATATATCATTGAGGTTTTATAAGTTTTAAAATAAATATTTTCTTAATAAAGAAATGTTATATAGTGTAGAAACACACCAAATCGGCTTCAAATTTTCATCAGAGAGAGTAATATTGTGATTTACTAATGGAATTGAGCCAAATACTCTTGTGCATATCTTATTTTCGTTCATATTCATTTTGTTCTTACTTTCGCAACAAGTTAAGCAACCAAACTTAGGTTTCAATGCTGCCTTAGAGCCCAACAACCGAGCAAAACGACTAAGGGTCGCACGGACCAGCTAGCCAACAGTCTAGCCCCGTGTCAAGTAGCATGTTTCATTGGGCTTAAAGCAAGAGACCCAAAATGTTAATTTGGTTCAAGCGTTTACCCATTCAAAACCTCCAAGAGGTCCATGTCCATTAGCCTTTTACTTGTGTCATCAAATGGGATGTTTACCTTTTGCTCAAAGTTAAAAGAAAATTCAAATCCACAAGCAACCACATAAACATCATTATTTTGTTTACTTCATCCACCCAATTTCTAACGCCACAGCAACCAAGATGCATAAATGAAGAAGAAACATGTCACTGTGATGCATCTATTTATCAAGGATTGGGGTCGGGATACATTAAAGGTTCAAGTTTATACTTATAATAAACTCAAATCAATAACAATATTCATACTTTTAATTGTATTAATTTGATATTTAAAATAATTAAATTAATATGTTTTTATCATCGAACTCGTTAAATTGTATTAATTTCGACCCACGATCGATAAAAAGTATTGTTGACTATTACAATACTAATATAACAATTCACAATATTAATGTGGTAGTTCATGTATAAACAATGATATGACAAAAGAGTTTCATAGAATTTTTACTTAGAGTTGAGATATATAATTTTTAACTAAAGTGCATAGCAAAGATTCAAGCTGACAAGAAACGGTCGAAAACTTTTCAATCTTCAATCTTTTTATAAAAATCAATTATTTATCAGGATAATCTATCCAAATAAAGAATATCATGTTAAACATTAGAATGGCTCAAATGTAAATTTATCAAATGTAAATTTATAATTTAGGAAGTTTTAAAAAAATTATCAAATAAAGTATTTTTAACATACAATACAATATTAAGGATAAAAACATCATTTCACATTAAACAATCAGTACATACTCGGAAACTCACACCAAAGAACACAAGTACACCTACAAAAGTACCATGTAAATTTATAGTTTAATCGGGTTATTATAACATATTTAAGTGAAATCAATCTTTCATCAGAGTAATAATAGTTTTTAGGGTAAATTACGTGAACTTTTATTTTTTAAAAAATCATATTTAAAGTTTAGTTTTTATTTCATTTTAGTACAGTTCAAAATTTAAAAGTTTAGGTACTAAAACGGACCAAAACAAATATTTTAAGTACTAAAAGGGTTACGTTTTTAACGGCGGGATACTAAAATAAAACAAAAACTAAAAGTTATGATGGTTTTGAAAAAAATTAAAAGTTTAAGTACTAAAATAGTTTATATACTAAATGTGTAATTTACCATAATTTTTAAGATTTATTCCTAAAATTTAAAAATAATAGGATAAAAATTATATTAAAATAATATTAATGAGCCTTATTTTACATTTTTTTAATTTTGTATTTCACATATGCAATCAGTACAATAAAATATAATCAAGATAAGATTAATAAGTACATATGATCAGGTGATTAAACTGCTCAAATTTATTCTCTTATATTACCTTAGAACATAGATTTTACATCCATTACGATGATTTTCTTTCCTTTCCCTACAGTCCCCTTCCCCTCCCATCTAGGGACGATTAAAACTAGATTTATAATTTATAATTTTTTTAATGAGATTTAAAATAATATTGGAGATAAATTATGAATTCAATCATTTAGTTATTCACATTATTTTATTTTAATCATGTATCTTTTTTTAAAAAATTATTATTAATATTATATATTAATTTTATTTTAGTCATCTAATATTTTTCTATTGTCAAATATTGAATTGACCAAAAAAATTATGGATTAGGGAAAGGAGAGATTGCACTAGATATACATGTTATTTTTGGTAATATTCACCTCAGCTGTAATCTTTAACAAAAGAATTTTAAATTACTGTAATACATAGGTTCTGGAATAAATAGAATAGGTATTACGTATATATAGGTATCAAGAAGCTAAAGTTTATGGTATAGAAGTAATGGAGGACAAAACCTCGTAAAAATCCTCCATTTTTTATGAAAAATTAAAGAAAAATAAAATGTATGTAAAAAAATATGGATAAAGTAATATAATTTCAGCAGTCAAGAAACTGGAGGTCTAAAGCCTAAACCTAAACCTGCAGCTGCTTCTCGAAATTCTGATGGCATTGTTAGCAGATAAAGCATCCACCACTAGCCGGCACCGAACCGTGAACTTCATTTCCGGCAGCTTTAAGCTCCCAAGCTTAACTCTCACAGGTTGTCTGGCCCTCAGCAACAAAGGTATGTTCCCCGTCTGCAGCTGCTGCTGTTGCAGCGACGCCAGCAAGTTGGTACCGTTCTGGATTTGTCCCGACATCGGCACAACCAGCACGGTCGTGTTCCGATGACCCTGGTAGAATTTTGGTATAGACCCTTGCACCAGTTGGGTTTCGTTGTACCATACGGTTATACGGCTACCTCCTTCGTAATATATTCCGATTCTTCTGTTGGGGTTTCTGGCGGTGATGTTAACGTCGAAGCCAGCAGACAAGCTAGAATTGGAGCTGAGATTGAACCGCGTTACCTCCAGACCGTCGATGGAATAATCCGGCAGCTTCGGTCGGAAAACGAGGAATAAGATGCCAACGATGATCCCTATAATGACGATTAGGAGCAAGATAATAGACAGTGTCCAACACAAGCACCTGCACCAACAGCTTCTCCTTTTCTTGGGAGTTCTCGTATGGTTAACAGGAGCAGTGCCATGGGAGTTGTCGGGTTGATGTTGTTGGACGGGGTTAACGTGGTCGGATTTCGTGGAGCCTACTGGAACCAAGGGGGCTGTCGGAGAGGCTTGTGGAGGCGATTCGATGTCGGAGACGGGATGGATTCTCTGTTGATCCGCCATCGACGACCACGAGTTCAATTAAAGACTTTTGAGGCAGCGGACCATATGGGAAGCAAGCCTTGAGAGAAATAGAATCTATATAAAGAGTAAGGACAAGGGACGGTTGATCAAGTCATAAGATAGAAGCATCCTTTATTTGACTTAATAATTTTGTTTGAGAGAGATGAAGTTTTGTGGTTTCGTTCAAATATTCACCTAATAACACGCATTCATATTGTAAGGAAAATTCAATGTCCCGCTGCTTTAATAATCATTAAACCCAGTAAACATATCATAATATAATATGGGTTGAAATACAAACGTGTTGAAGTATTGAGACGTTGAGAGATTGGTGTTGAAAACTGAAAAGAGAAGATTACAAAATATTTGTTGATCAAAGCCGCCGTGAGAACGATAAATGTTAGTTGGTGGAAAGACCGTCAACGGGTGTGTAAGGAAGGACAAATTTTAGGGTTTATGATCTCACCCTTTAGTTTTCTCCTCACGTCTCATATTGCCTCTATTATTTTATCCCATACATAGCCTCCTTGAACAAAAGACTAGTTTCTAGATTTACAACTCTTCTAACAATCATCTTTATTAAGTAACGCAACAATCAAATTGCGGACGCTTTAGTTCTTTTCAAATGAATAACACTATATTTCACAAATACTTCATACTTTTAGTTTACGAGTAACGAAAATTTTAAATAATTCAAATTAATCAGAAATTGTATTAAAGAAAACCATCCCCAAATGTATGAAAATATCTAATTTGGAACTTTAAAGGGTTTTTATGTCACATAATTTATAATATAAATTATAATTTACCATGCACTTACAAATTTGAAGTGGCAATGGTCGGCACTTTTTAATAATTATTTAGATACATCTTCCGTATCTAAAAGGAATAGTGCACCAAAGTTATATATATTTTAATGAAATGAGGTTATTAAGAGAATTTTCTCCAAAGGTTTATTTTTAAATAAAATGTGTTTAGTTAATTTTTGGGAAATAATTTTAAAAAAATAACAATTAAAAACCACTTCCATTCATTTCACTAAAAAATATTTATAAAACAAGATTTTTTACATAATAAATTAACTCAAATTTAATCTATATAAATAAAAATATTGTTTTTTTAATAAATTTTAAATATTAAATCTCTGTCTTCATTTGAATAACGGAGATGTATTATTTTGTTTTTATTTATCATTTTTATTATAAAAAATTATATCTAACATTACGTTTTGGTTCTGTTTTGATCACATGTTGTTAAAAATTTAACAATGATAATGATGTGATGTTTTTTATTTTTCAATGTTGACATGGTAATTCTTGATAGTGACACATCACTATTACTGTTAATTTTTTTAACGACAAAGGAAAAAACCAAAACTAAAACATAATGTTAAGTATAATTTAAAAAAATAGTTGAGAGACTAAAACAGAAATTAGGCAATAGGTAGGTGATTAAATAAATAGTTTTCCCTTATATATTTTCCTACTTCTAGGTTTTCAAATCTAAAGATATTGTATGAATATTTAGTTGATGTAATTCTAAAATTTCAGAATTTTTATTGAGGGTATATTCGAGGCAGAGTTAGAAATTTTAAGTTATGGCGTCATAATTTTAAGGTGTGATATAAAAAAATTGACTAAACTATATCTCTTTTTTCACTTAGGTATTTAATTTTTTTTTGTCAATTTAAGTGTCTAACATTACCAATATTATCATGTAAGTGCTCGTCCATCATCACCATTAAAAAATCCATTACTTGAAAAAAGTTAGACACCTAAATGGGAAAAGATGTATAGTTTGAGCACTTTTTTTATATTAAGCGTATTTCTTTTAGTAATCTTTGATGCTTAGAAGTGATATTATATGTTCTAAAAACTTTCAAGCATTTGATAATGAACGCACAATACCCTACAATCGTTGGAGCTCGAAACCGGAACCTTTAGAATAACAACCATTTATTTAATCAATGAAGTCAATTGGTTCATGTATATTAAACTTAATTTTAAATTATAATATTTAAATAAAATTACAGAATTATTTTTTCAAAGGTGTAAATTTTTTTCTAAATGTCATTTATTTTTATTTATAGTGTATATAGAGAGATTTTTTTTATCTTAGAAATTTTGGGATATCATTTGACACTCCTCGTCTCGTACCGGTTCCGCAAGTAGGGATGGCAACGGGTTAGATTAGGGTTGGATTTTTGGTCAATCCGACCTGACTCGAAAATAGACATCTTTCACACGAATTCAATCCGATCTAAAAATTTTATATCATACATTCGACCTGACCTGACCCGACCCGTACCCTTCACCTGACTCTGACCAACCCGATTTTTTAGAGTGTAAATACGATCTGGTATAAATTAAGGATTTAATTAAAAAATAATAAATTTTTAATAAAATTACATTATTATCCTCAGGTTGAATTGAGTCAGAGTTTTTTAACCCTTCACCCGACCTAATCAAACCTCACTGCTTAAAATATTTGACCCGACCCGAACCGATTTTTTTATAAAAAAATTGACTCTATCGAATTGGGTCGGGTCGAAATCCATCAGATTCGGATTGAATTGTCATCCTTATCCGCACGTGGGTATATTGATATATATATTTTTAAAATAATATATAGAAACGGTGTAAAATAAAGTTTACACATAGATGTTTATTTTATTTTTTTAAGAATTATATTTGGATTTTAGGGTTTAGAATTTTAGATTATATAAGTATAAATACTAAAATTTAAAATTAAAGTAAGTAAATAATGTAAAATAAAGTTTACACTATCTGTACATCAAATAAGCAATCATAATATGGTATCAAGTAATGGCACTAAAAATTGAGTTGAATTGGAAGTGGCATGATAGAAGGCTCACTTGATATCCTTGCGTGAGCTTATAATACCTTTAAAAAAAAAGAGTAAAGAAGGAATCATAAGGTTGGCATTGTGATATTAGATTTTGGTTCAAAGCATTTATCCCAAAAGTATGAGAATGTTGAATTTGAAGTTTTAGAGCTATTTCTCCATTTCATGTAAATCCGACCCTCAAACATTCCAAAAAATAATTCTAGACATAAAATCAACGGAAAATAGCAAGATTAAACCTGCATATTACCACGAGCAGTCTGCTCAAAAATATTATTGGCCCTCCATTGCACCTCTTCCCCTGGGTTCCCATCAAGACGTTGCTCGCCTCTATCCGAAACCTTAGATGATCCTTTAGCATGATCCAACTCTGAAGACATGGCTGAGATCCACTCTGCAAGCACTACATGCAACTTATGAAGTCATGTTTTTTTTGTCTTCAGGGATGTGAATATCTTCTTAGTTTATTGCTCATTTCACTCTAATTTAAAAAAATACTTTCTCTACAAACGATCAGTTGGTCTAGTGGGATGAGACAATTGGTCCCTTAAGCAAGGTCAGGGGTTCGAATCCTGGCGTTTGCGAATGGAGCGAACTGGATTGAGAGGGTCACCCCGCCTCTGCAGTACCCGATCTGAATTAGTCATATATCAATTATTAATTAAAAAAATACTTTCTCCAACGTTACATTCATTCTCTTTTCCCACCATATTAGCATATCAAATTTGTCTAAATAAAAGTATCTCATCAATGTATATATCATATTAAATATTTAATAAAAAGTAATTATTAATTAAATATTTTCATTTTTTATTAAATTAAAATAATTATAAAGATAATATTTGTTTAAACTATATAATAATAAATATTTAAACATCTCTGCATATGATATGATGATGCTCGATCTTGAGATTCTAATGTGCAATGACAATCTTTTGAATCTGAAATAGCTTCACTCGTGCTATTAGATATTTTTATTAAAATATTCGGTCTAGATATGATTTTATACCTTCGAAATATAGTTTTATATTTCCAGTGGTTTACAAATGGAAACATGGAAAAGACCCGGAAATGGCGTTTCTCAAGGAAAGCGAAAAGAACAGCAGCCTCTCCGATTCAGAAAATGCGTTTGCAAATAATCATATTGCTTCTCTCGTGTATCTTGGCAACTGGAATCAATTCGATATATGATGAGTTTAAGGTGGATGGGGAAGTGTTGGAGTTGGACGAATTCAACTTTGACTCCGCCGTTTCCTCTTTCGATTACATCCTCGTCGATTTCTACGCCCCTTGGTGCGGCCACTGCCAGCACCTTTCCCCACAGGTTTTCTACTCTTTATCCAGTGTTTGCAGAACCCAAAATTTGTATAGTTTTTTGGATGCCATTTCTATTTTTTAGTTGAATTGGTTTGATTCTAATCATATTCGGTACCTTTCTTTCCATCGTTTTGCCTTTAATTTCCCCTAGTAGTTGTGTCAATGACGTAAAATTACTTCTTTTCTTTTTTTTTCTGCGTTGCAGTTAGATGAAGCTGCTCCTGTTCTTGCAGGATTGAAAGATCCGATAGTGATTGCCAAAGTTAATGCTGACAAATTTACCCGTCTTGCTAGTAAACATGATGTTGAGTAAGCGACTACGACTTTTTTATATGGTGGATTAGAAATAACGTTTCATAAAGTTCTTATGCATTTGGTTTGTAGAAATGTCCTTATGTAGTGCTGGTAATCCAATTGAAAAACCTAGAAATTGTTGTACCAATTCATTGTTTTGGGAATAACCTATAGACATTTTAAATAAAACCTATTGTTAACAGTAATAGTTATTTGTTTTGATGCATTTCTTTCTATTTTTTGCAATGCATTTCAATTGGTGCCTTTTATGCATAATCAAAGAACATGAATTATCTATTTCAATAAGTAAAGCATACGCTACCCTCAGGCTTTATAATTGAAATTGGATTTTGCAGTGCATACCCTACCCTCAAGCTCTTTATACATGGGGTTTCTATGGATTATTATGGACCAAGGCAATCAGACGGTCTTGTTCAGTTTCTGAAGAAATTTGTTTCTCCCGATGTGTCTATTCTTACTTCAGACTCTGCCATTAGTGGTTTTATTGAAGAAGCTGGGACTTTCTTTCCTATATTCATAGGTTTTGGCTTGAATGAGACGGCTCTATCTAATTTAGCTGTCAAGTACAAGAAAAGGGGATGGTTTTCTGTGGCAAAGAACTTCTCTGATGATGCCATGGTGTTGTATGACTTTGAAAAAGTACCTGCTTTGGCAGCTATTCATCCTAACTATAAGCAACAAAGCATTTTCTATGGCCCTTTTGAAGGTTAGTTTGTTATCAATGTTTCAAGCGTCTTTCAGATACTACAATCATATATGTTGCGTAACTTTTGCCTGCAAAATCCAACATTGGTATTAACTATCATGTTGCCTATAAGAATCTTTTCCATAGAAATTTGCTTTTGTGGTGGATCTTAAGAAGGTAGTTGAATTATTTTATTCAACTTTTTTGGGGTTGACATAATATTGTAGACATGCTATATTGTATTTGTTTTAATCAGACAACTTGATCTGGTATTTCCTATATAAGGTTTAGGGACAGTGGAAAAAACAAATTTAGTTTATTAAAGGATTTGATAGAGTTACATAACCGTATATTGTAACATCTACTCTGTGGGTAGATGCTTTACGTGAAACTGGAAATACCTAAATGGAGTGATCTACAATTGAATATTGTGCAGTTGTATGTTTTTCATATAACAGAATGTAGATTAAAGGGAAATTGTGTTCATATGAAAGGGGTATGGTGTCTTAGATTAGGGATACATGGATTTTGTTGATGGCTTGCCATATGTCACATTGTTGTATAGATACATCAGTGTGGAGAAGGATTTGATTCTAGAAAAATGATGAGTGTAGGTAAGATGAGAAAAAAGGATGGATGTGTGGCATACATTGGCTACTAAATACATAGTATTGAGTGGAATCAAGGCTAATTTTGCTTTTCAATCTGTAAATTTTCTGGCTGCAAAAAGAGAAAAGGAAATCTAACACTTCAGCTTCAAATATGCAGATAAACTTTTGGAGGATTTTATAAAACAGAATTTTCTCCCTCCAGTGGTGCCCTTGAACCATGAGACGTTGAAGCTATTGAAAGATGAAGAGAGAAAAATTGTCCTGACAATCACAGCGGATGAGAATGAAGACCAATCACAGAACTTGATCAAGTTATTGAAGGAGGCTGCATCTGCAAATCGTGATTTGGTATTTGGTTATTTTGGCCTTAAGCAATGGGAAGACTTCGCTGATAAATTTGATGCTAAGGAGAAGACAAATTTACCGAAAATGATTGTCTGGAATGGAGATGAAGACTACTTTTCTGTAAGTATTAATTCTCTTCATATTATATCTTGAATTCTAAATGCAAGATCGAGTCCCTCTGACGGTAGTGACTTTCGTCTTATTTTAGCATAATTTATCATCTGTGTGGTGTTCATTCTTATACATCCTTGACATCTATATGACCATCTTAATTAGGATTGTGTATCATGGCCATCTTAGAGCTAATGGAAATTGTTAACATATTGTGATGATGCTTATATGCAAGGAAAAAGGCTGAAATTGAGCCTTTAACAAATTATTTGTTCAAATATTGTCCCATAACTCTCAATTTTTACAATCAAGGTAGAGGGTAAAAATAAATTTGATAGGAGGGGAAAAGGGGGTGCAATTACCATTTGAGAAGTGATCATACGATGGTGGAACAAAAGAGGAAGTGAAATAATGGATTAATATCATGTTAGAGATTAATGCATGATGGTATTGGGTAGTAATGTAAGTGAACTGATGCATTTTCGGTATGTTCATGTTTATTTATTCAACTAAGCAGCCGAGTTTCAATATTTTTTTTTTCAAAATGTGCTTATAGATGAGTTGCATTTCAACTGTGGGTAAGCTTGATTGGTATACATTCTTGAGTAGACTTGTTCATAACATTTTTAGCTGCTAGCTTTTTAGTGTTTAATCATTTTAAGAAAGATTTATACAAGACAATATTAGAGTGTTCTTTTTGTCAATATGGTAGGTTATTGGTATTGAAAGTCTTGATGATGAGGATCAGGGGTCTCAAATCTCACAATTCCTTGAAGGATATAGACAAGGAAGAACAGAAAAGAAAACGGTGAAAGTACCATTGTTTATGGGACTTCTCAACTCAGTAGTTGGCATTGGAGTGTTCTTCATAATTCTCTTTGTTGTCGCGATGATGATCATGATGATCGTCCTTATGATTATTATTCGTAAAGACGATGAACCTCAAACAGTTGGCAGTCGTGACAAGGTTGATCATGCTGGGAACTCCGACCCCGGAAGCAGTCTGTATGGAGTTGAGACGAAAGAAGATTAGATCAGGCATATTTGAACATGAAAATGTTCTATCTTAAAATGTGTAATCCAAACCAACATAAGCATATTTTTCTTGTGCTTTGAAGTATGTTGATATTTCCTTGAGGTGGCTCTCATCATGATTTTATAAGCCATTTTCCCCAGCTTCCTAAAAGGTCAAGTGATCTCTCTGCGTAATTCCAATCCTTTGGGGAAGTTGACTGGTTTACAATTTTCACATATCCTTTATTGCATTCGCTAATGATCATATTAAATTGAATGCAACGTTATCCTGTACCTTACCTGCACAACATGCTTTCTTCCATTCGTTAATATTTACCTTTCATTTTCAATAATGATATTTGTTTGTATTTATCTTTTGTTCGATTAAGTTTCAACTCTTTTATTATAGGATATTATTCTTTGAGTTATTAATTTATCCACATTAATAGTTTTATAATAATGTTGACTGTTATTATAAAAATCGGAAAATATGTATAATATTTTGATTATATCTTTTCAAAAATTATATTATTAGTTCAACTTGAACCCATTTGATACAAGTAAGCATTTATCTTCCCATTTTAGTCACAGTCCAATCCAATTTCTGTTATCGTTTCATAAATAAATAACACTTTCATTTAATCTAATTGTAAATGCAAAATAAATTTTCAAAAATTAAAATGTTTTTAAAGACAATTAAAAAAAATGATAGTTTCCATTAGGGGTGTAAACGAGCCGAGTCGAGCTCAAGTATTGGTGAGCTTGACTCGACTCGAAAACTTTAAAATGAAACTCGACTCGAAAATTTGCGAGCTTAAAATTTTCAAACTTGATTCGAACTCGAAATCTTGACCTGAAGCTTGTGAGCAGCTCAAAATGAAAAAATATTCTTAAACTTAACTCGATTAAAGCCTCAAACTCGAATCTAAACCTTAAATACATGAAAATCTCACTATATATTTTTAAAAAAAATCAATACATAATAAATATTAATATTATTGATAATTTATTTAAAAAAATAAAATCTTAATATATTATATTTTCGAGCTGCTCACGAGCTTTTCGAGTCGAATATCAAGTAGCTCGTTTCGGCTCGTTAAGAACTCGAGTCGAGCACGAACTCGAGTCAAATCCATTCGGTCCGAATATTTATCGAGCTTTGATCGATTCGATCTCAAGTAGCTCACGATCTGTCTCGTCTCATTTACAGCCCTAGTTTCCACAACATAGATCAAAATTTAAAAAGTTGAAAGGAGAAACGCACATGAAAAACATACAAAACTATATTCACAAGACTGACAACAATGTTTCCAATCCTCTACTCACATTGCACACATACCCTCATCATTTGGGGAAACCAAAACAAATGACAAATCTTTTATGCTACAATGTACAAATTCGGCAAGTTAAATTCTCGACATTAGATAAGAACACAACACAATCCACCGTATCAAGAACAACTGAATTATGTAATTGCATTCACCCCGTGATTTACTTACCTCATTAACAATCAGGAAGCGAGTGAGCTGATGCAAATGGTGAAAAACTAGCAGCTGACCCACTATGACGCAGAGGATGCAGCTGGTGATCCGAAGAACTGACTAAGCTTGGTGATGCATTGCTTAGGCTTGGAATATATTGGGACATGTATCTTGGATTAAGTGGTGACAAGGATGGGTAATTCAATGAGGTAGGCGAAACCAAATGAGAACCACGAGATCTATGAGAGGATGCATTCCTAAGGTCCACTGAGCTCCGGTTATAGATGCTCATGGAAGGAGATTGATGGCAGGACCTAATTGATTGCTGAATATATGGATGGCTGGCAAGAGAATGAGTCTGAGAAGCCGGTGGAGATGCCCATGCCGCTGGGGCAATTTGTATGGATGACGATGATGCTAATGACAGAACGGATGGTAATGCAGAGGACACGGAGATTGGGGTCGTTGAAAGCAACGGTGTACTTTCTGATGCCGATAAACTACCTGCTGTGGTTCTTGCGTCACCCTTGCAGACAGGGCAAAATGTTCTCCGTGTTGTCAGCCAAGAATCAATGCAGAAAGCATGGAACTCTGAAAAAATGCCAGGAAATATTAATATAGACGCAAATTAAAAACAAAACAAGTGTTTACGAGTTGGTTTTGTAAAGCAACCCATAAAGACAACGAACATAGACAACTGCAAATTTATTAACCTTTTGATATTTTGGCTGGATAACACAGCTTCTTAGAGAAGAATTGTTTCATATTCCAGTAAATCGCAGTATAGAATAAGAAAAAAAAATAATACAGGATAGAGAAGTGTTGGTTTGAAACCTAAAACAGAGTGGGAAACTGAAAGGCAAGAAGAAAGAAGTCTGAGATTGACATCAAGATTTCCTGATACTATTAATTGGAAGAAGGCTTCTAGATAGCCTAAACCCACAAGGACTTTCCATCATGAGGCAACTCGGTCAAACTTGAAGCTCAATTCACTAAGCATCCAAACAGTTCGTACTTTAAAATGCCAATCATATTTGAAGGCAATGATTTCATAATTACAATAGTAATTAGTTTAAGAAGCATATTTTTAGCATAATCATAGCAGTACTCTTAAATCATCAAAGAACATATTTGTGCTTTAAACATAAAGAAATGCAAATATTAGGGACAGCAAACATGTATTATAACTTACATGCATATAAACATGTGAGTTCATGTATGCATGCAACCTGTCATCTATGGGTAACTTGGATTTCTTTAAGCCAGATTAGATTTAAGACTTGCAAGTACCAAGTGATAACCAGATTTAAACTCTAGAGGATAACTAATATATAGCAATCCGTTTTCCCATCTAGCACTAACTTGTGTATTTAGAGACTTTTGAAAGCGATAAAAACATAAAGGATCAATTAATCATAACTTGAATTAATCAAGAAATATTCTTTTATATGAATAAAGAACAATTCTTGAGAAGAGAGGTAGATCAAGAAAACACCTCAAGTTTTGGAGTTAATGATGAGCAAAGCTATTCTAAAATCTAAATTCATGGAGGAGCACTAAGGTCTAGAACGACATTCTCTGGTCCATTTGAAATGCTCAGAAGTAATATCTATTTACCCCCTAAATTCCCTTCTTTGAGTTTTAATTTGGACAAAAAAGAAAACAAAAAAAAACAAGAATTTTTAGCATCAGATGCATCTAATTTAAACGGACCAAGAACCAATCATTTCCATTTAAATCTAGAATTGTCCTATTGTAAAAAGCAAAAAATCATTGGGCAAGAACTGAAATAGGATAGCCACCAAAAAAAGTCTCATGAATTGACAGCCTAATTACTGTGCAACATACATGCAAAATGACACTGAATCAGCATATTAACAAATAAAATTACAACAGCAAATATTGCAAGCAATGTCATCTTCAGTGTTGTAAGAAGCTTACTGTGACAACATGGAAGAATTCTGAGCTTCTCTCCAACAGTATAGTCTTCAAGACATATTGCACACGTTCTTGAAGTAGAATTCTCATCCAAAACAGCAGTGAATATCAAGCTAGGCATTGCTTTTACTAAACGCTTGCTCATTCCATGGAATTCACGAACTCGAGAAGATCGAGGACGTTCTCGTCTGATGTGATGCCTGCGTACAAAGAAACAAGTCGCGAGCACTGCCAACATGGCAAGTAAAGAAATAAAGGATATGGCCATGATTGACCATGCAGAGTTTTCAAAAGTAGGGCTTAGCCATAGCTCAACATCAGTAGACCCAGCATACTTTTTTAGTATTTCACCAGAAGCTTTGGAAACAAAGACAGCATGTATCTTTATGCCAGAAGCATTCCCTACCACTGTAAAAAATATAAGACGAGGTAAACTTAGAGGCACCATATAGAAAATTATACATGTTCGAGGACAATAATGATGACAGACAGAAACTAACATCTGCCACTCAAGGAAAACCAAGAAGGTAATAAATAAATTTGAAATGGAAAAAAGATATATATATATATATATAAATGAATAATGGAAGCATATTTATAAATGTAGAAAGAAATGTTGGTAAAGGATTTGGTCCTAATCTCACTCTTCTTCAAAGCCTTCCGTTATCCAGCAAGAATACACCACTATACAATATAACATATCTTTAATTTCAAGCACACTCCCTCTGTAATTTTTAATATACTTTAGCAAAACAGTATCTTCCCAACAGTAAATTCCGACATCCAGAAAGTTACTTGAGGAGTTGATTTTTGCAATAAAAGGTGTGATAGATTAAATCAATTATAGCTTGACTGGTGCAACATATTTACTCAGCTAGAAGAAAATAAAAAGAAGTGAAGATATGAGCATGGAGGGTTACTATAGTTAACTGTTTAAGTGTAATATGCATATAGCTTTAAAGAATCACATAATACACAATTGAGTTTTGCTTGGATGTGGCAACTGTAGAATTCAAATTCAAATTCGTTCACACAATTGTATGTTGGGAAACAAAACCAAGAATGGAATGTTATCATGGTGACCAGATAAATTGCAGTGCAAGAAGGAATAGTTTGGATCTATAAGAAAACAAAAATATGGCATAATGACTACCAATTACACCAAGCTATTATCCATCCAATATGAAGTATGAACTTAGGAGAACAGCTTATAGTCAAAATGTCCAAAAGGGTTAAAAAAAGATGAGCATTGGAACTGATGCAATCAGGACTTAGTAGAAATTAATGTCAAAAGGCAATTCAAAGGGTTTCAAGAAGACAAACAGATTATATAGGAATACAATTTTATTTCTATCAGCATATCCTGTTAAAGATCTTTAAGAATCAATTCACAAGAAGAAGAAAAAAAAGAAGTCTGTTAGATGCACTTAAATAGGAATGCTCGCACTAAATTGCTTGACTGGCCCAAGTATCTTTGAACAAAACCAAGTTTAGCAAAAGTACAATATACAATTTCAATCACTCAAAATGAGATGGTGTTTTTAAAGGAAAAGGGAATTACTTGTAACCAAGAAACCATCATCATTGTCATAGACAATAGCGGCTTCGAACCCTGCCTTTTGCACTCTCCTTACTTTGTCATCAAAACTGCATCCTCCTCTAATAATCAGCGCAAAAGGGGAGGTAATATTGGAAACCTTTTCAACATTATTACTCAAATCCGAACACGCATCAAGAGGATTTGCCAAATATAATACCCCACATTTCCCCGGCCCTTTAACTGGCGGAGCTGAAAATTATCAACAGCAAAATGAAACATCACGCAAGAATTCAATTATATTGTCAACACCAATGGACTTCAATTTTTCAGTTCAATCAAACATACGTTGCATCAGTTTGTCCTTCATGTACAGTTTATATAAGCAAAACAATAAATCACCTATTTCTTCAAATTAAATAAGTTACTCACAATGAAGAGAGAATTTATATATTCAACTTGGAGCTATCGGAATACTGAAAGATCCATTTCTTGCTTTAATTTCCCACACTTTCTCAGGAACCAAACAGGAAAAGATGAAAATATATCTTCAAAAAGAAATTTAAATAAAAGAAACACAAAGAGCTCACCGAATTTAGCTTCAACATCGTCGAAAGAAAGAGTAACGTTGTTTCCAATAAGCACCACACTAGCTGGTGCCATCCAACAAACACCCAAGAAACAGAGAAGCCGTAACAATAATACCACCACACCATTCATCTTCATCGAAAAAAATATTTTTTTTAAAAAAAATCCCCAAAAAATCCTAAATCTCAGTAGAAAGAAAGAAAGATGATTCCGTTGAGGGTTGCGAAGTAAATGGATACATCAGCTTCCATCACCGAAATACAACATTGATGGATAAACAGAAGAAAAAACCCCAGTTCTTCTTACAGAGCTTGATGGTTTGCAGCTTCAATTACAGTAATCTCCCATCTCGTTAGATTTTTCCTTTCCTTTTGGCTATTAATTCAAACACAATCTCCCAGACGAAAATATCTTCTTCTTCTCGTCCCTTTCTTCCAGTCCTTATGATAATCTAATAGTTTAATTTACAAATTACTCTTTAAACTATATTTTTTAATTTAATATTTAAATTTCTTCTATCATATCTACTCTAGAGTTTTCTTTAATTATCCAAATCAATCAAATCATTTGTCTCTTTAAAAATAAGCTTAATTAAATAAAGCTAAATAAGATTAAGGACTCTCCCTTCTAGTAGACTATGTACATCCTCTTCTTCATTATCATTTGAATATTTAATTAAATTAAACCTAACGTGTATTATGTTTTTATTAATTCACAAGTTCGTCATTGTCATTTGTTCATGTTCGTCATTGACCCATGGTGCACATAAATTAGAGAATGAGAAGTCCATGTACAATCAAAGATAAAGGGCAAAAGACAGAACAAAAGTTCCCGGTGACCCCTTCCAAAGGGTATCTCAGTGGCACAGTGTCGGGGATCCCTGGTGAGGGATATTTGCTAATTCTGACGAGCACTCTTTAAAAACCAAATCCCTGCTATATATTTATCATGGTTCATTTCCACTGATGCATCCGTAATGGTATTTTATTCTCTAAAATATGATTGATCTATACTTCCAAATCAAATGAAATCAAAGATTCAATTTCCTCCAACACAACATTTCCCATGGATGTCTAATAGAAGGGGGAGTCCTTAATTTTATTTAGCTCTATGCATAGTTTATTCTAAAAATATTAACATAGTCAAAAAACCTAGGCAACACGAACCAAGTAGTCTCCGTATGATAAAGAAATTGTTATTATTTCTTAAGAACTCAGATTAGAACACCGTAAATAACAGAAGTGTGAGCCTTTAATATTAAAAGATTGAGTGTTAACTCCGAATAAATAATATTTTATACTTACTCTATATTAATAAATAAATAAACATAGGCAACTCAAACTTTATCCAATCATTTATTTGGTCCAAGGCCCGCTATATGGATTTACCACATAAATTTAGATTGATGTGGGCCTCCAACTATTCATTAGTTAGATCTTACATGCCAACCAATTCCAACTTATTTATAAAAGAATCCCCTCTACAAAATTCTAACTAGCTCGGTGTTTATGAAATTCACGTAACATTGATGATCACAGTTATCTTTGCAGTATCCGATCTAGATTAGTCAGTCAATAGATCAGATACCAGTGATTAATTCAAAAAAATATATGCATTGTACCATTCAAATATAATTAATTGTTTTTTTAGGAACAAGAAATTAGGGAAAGCTAATATTATTACCTAGGTTAACTATACAAATGATCACTTATGTTTGTGTTTTGTCTATTTCTGGTCACTGATTTCAAAATACGTATGATAGGATCACCTTTATTTTTATTTAAATAATATGTGATCACTTTCCTTATCGAAAGTTAAATATTTAATCATTGTGACTTTAACGGTTGTTAACCATTAATGGATTGATGACCTGATACGGTAATTAAATAAAATAAAAAACACGTCATTTCCACGTGGATTATAAGTGGATTAAAAAAATGAAGTGAGTGTTTGACCGACTTTTGACTTCATTAAACTAATCTAACCCTTTTTAACTTATCTAGTAAATCGTAATAATTTTTCGTTTATATTAATTTTATTTTTTTTAAACTTAATCCAGGTCAAATGATACATTTTCTATTTTATTTAATTATCGTGCCAGTTCAGTAAATCGTTAGTCTAACGGTAGTAAACTCAAAGTGACCATATCTTATTTAAATAAAAATAAAAGTGATCATATCTTATGTATTTTGAAATTAGTGACCGAAAGTAGACAAAACACAAATCATCCGTATAGTTAACCTATTACCTATTTGATATTTCAATGATTTATATTAATTGGAATATACTCTTAATCTTGAGACTATAATGCTCTCAATATACTTACTAGTTCTATAAACACTTTCATTACTCACTCCACCGCCACGAGGAATTGCCAGAAGAGCAAACTATAGAAAATCAGAAGTTGAGTTGACCGATGAACAAGAGCTTCGATTTCTAAGGTCTATAGTTCAGTGTTGAACTGCTGGCCAATATGTGTTTTTTAAGTGCACAAAAAGTTTTGGATTTTGTACGTTGAAATCTAAACTGTTCATGATCTCAAAGAAAACAGAATTCAAGTTCACATGACCTTACGATGTACTACAGGATACGATGATAATAATGTCAATTGAATTAATATTTAATAGTTATAATCGTTTTTATAAAATTTTTAATGAATTTTTTAAGACTAATAATAGTGATAAAGATTTGCAGATAATGAAAGCATTGAATGATTCATACCATATCTAACAAAAATATGAATCTGCCGTTTGATGTGTTAAAAGGACAAATGAGTTTGGTGAGAAAATGACCTTTATTATTGTAAGGAATCAAATGAAGAAAATAGGACAAACTTGGGTGCTTTTTTTATATAGTTTTAGGCTGTAGAATAGAACTTTCCTCTACCATATTTAATGTGCAACTGTATCAACATTATTCAAACCATTGGTGGCGAGGCAATGACAGAGTAAAAGCCAAAGTAGGTATCACCTTGCAATCTCAGCTACCTCTTTCTATTATTAGATTTAGCCTCCTTTATCAATATCTTTATTTAGCTTTGTGTTTTTGCCATTTCAATTTCATTCAAAGAAGAATTAGAAGACCTACACCACACCACCAACAATTAGTTCATCTAGTGTGATAAGACACTAAATTTCTTAAGTAAGACTAAGGGTTCAAATTCTAACGATTGTGAATGGAACAAACTGGTTTAAAAGGATCGTCACCATAATAGGTCTCTACAAAATCTGATTTAAATGACTCAATCAATAGACTAGATCCTAATAGTTAATTAAAAAAAATTAAAAGACCTACAAATCAATAATTAATCTCTTAACTAAATTGAACCGGATTCCACTTAGTTAGACTCAAACCCTTATGATAGTATAAATAAGAGGGAGTGATTGTCATGGTGGGCAATTAATTAAAAGGTAAACTACACTAATGTAATTAATGTTTGAGTAAGTTTATGTTTTTCCCGTTAATGTTTGAAAAGTAACAAATTGATGAATAATATTATCGATTTGTAACAAAATGGTCACTAACGTTACCGATTTGTAACAAAATGATCACCCTACCGCCGTCTCCATTAAATTGATGATGTGGCAACGTAAAGAAAATGGTTAATATTTAGTTTTACTCCTAAACTATAGGTAAAATATCAAATAAGTCATTGAACAATGATTTTATATTTAATTTACCCCCAAAACTTTCTAATTTCAAAATTTTCCAAATACCCCACCACCTCCACTATATTCGAACCACCTTCCTTACAAAATAAAAAAATGATGGAGATTTAAAAATATTTTCTTTTTCATTTTTTATACATACTTTCTCATTCTCATTTTTTTAGGATGAGCGATAGAGATCGTTATTCCAAAAACACAACAAATGAAAAACTGTAGTATTGTTGAAACAAATGTAGTCAAATGCATCTATTTTACTTAATCAAAGAGACCAAGAGATAAAAAAACAGCAAACAAAACAATGGAGCTTCAAAACCTGGTGAAGAAGCTAGAGATGGACAACCATGCATAGCAAAAAGTGTCGCGTGAGAGCGAAGTGATGGTCATGTCTCAAAATAATAAACTAGAAATACTGCGAGAACAAGTACTGTCAATAATGGAGTCGGCGATGCAAAATCGTGGTGTGAAGTTGAAGATCAACAAGACGAAAAAAGAACAACAACGACAATGGTTTCCAAACGCTATGATACTCCCAAGTGTTTGTGTTTGTGAGAGGAAAAACTTGTTTTTCTTATGTTAACAATTGTCATTTCTATGTGCTTAGTGACCCAAAATGCAAGAAAAATAAGCTTTTCCTCTCACAAATGCAGACACTTGAAGTATTACAACGTTTGTAAACCATTGTCGTTCTTCTTCTTCTTCTTCGTCTTGTTGATCTTCAATTTCACACCAAGATTCTGTATCGCTGACTCCATTGTGTCAGCTACTTGTTCTCATAGAGACACAAGCATTGCTTCGCTCTCATGCGCCATTTTTTGCCATGCATGGTTATCCATCTCCAACTTCTTCAACCAATTTTGAAGCTCCATTATTTTTTAGCTGCTTTTTGTATCTCTTGGTCTCTTTGATGAAGTAAAATAGATGCATTTGACTCCATTTATTTTGACAATATTGTAATTTGTCGTTTGTTGTGTTCTTACTGTAACAATCTCAACCTCTCATCCTAAAAAAATGAAAATAAGAAAGTATATATAAAAATGAAAAAGAAATGATTTTTAAATCTCCACCATTTTTCATTTTGTAAGGAAGGTGGTTTGAGTATAGTGGAGTTGGTTGGGTATTTGGAAAAATAAAATAAAATTAGAAAGTTTTAGGGGTAAATTAAATATAAAATCATTGTTCAATGGCTTATTTGATGTTTTAGCTATAGTTTAGGGGTAAAACTAAATGTTAACCGTTTTTTGAAAGTTGCCATATCATCATTTTAACGCAGATGGTAGGGTGATCATTTTGTTACAAATCGTTAACGTTAGTGGTCATTTTGTTATAAATCAATAATGTTAGTGACCAATTTGTCACTTTTCAAACTTTAGTGAGAAAACAAAAACTTACTCAAACATTAATTACTATTAGTGTAGTTTACACTTAATTAAATAACCAAGGAAATGGTATCTAAAACAATGATATCACATCTTTGAATTGAGCTCCCCACGTCATTATTGCTAATGGTAACACATCGTTTAATATGTTAATCAAAGTGATGCACCAAAAACTCTTAGGTGGTCTTGAGGGAATTGAAATCTGTGAAGGAATTGAAATTTAAATCTGAAACATGTTTGGTTGGCAGGAAATTGAATTGGAATCCAATTACATATTCTGTTTGGTTCGCAAACATGTCAGATGAATTTGATTTCAGTAATGTAAAAATTACAAAATTGCCCTTTTCATTTTTTTTGCTTGATTTTAG